GGTCAATGACATGAGACAAAGTATATGTGAACTGCTGTATGAAAAGTGAATTTACTCTGTAAATCTTCACCCAAATCAAAATAAAATTAAAAAAAAAAAAACCAAGCCCACTGCCCTGGAGTTGGTTCCTGCTTAAGAACCCCTAGAGGACAGAGTGAAACTGCCCAGAGGGTCTCCAAGGCTGTCAGTCTTCAGGCTGGCAAAGCCCCAGCCATGCTCACTGCCGTGGAGTTGATTCCGACCCACAGCGCTCCTAGAGGACAGAGTGGAACTGCCCACAGGGTCTCCAAGGCTGTCAATCTTCAGGGAAGGAAAGCCCAAACCACACCCACTGCCGTGTAATCCATTCTGACCCACAGCGCCCCTAGAGGACAGAGTGGAACTGCCCAGAGGGTCTCCAAGGCTGTCAGTCTTCATGGAAGCAAAGCCCAAGCCACACCCACTGCCATGGAGTCTATTCTGACCCACAGTGCCCCTAGAGGACAGAGTGGAACTGCCCCACAAGGCCTCCAAGGCTGTCAATCCTGGGTTGAAAGCTTGTGTAAACTCAGCTCTCTACAGGCTTTGGGGAGACTCCACGTTGTGAGAGAATTTGGAGAGGAGCCCGGCTGAGCCGCCCTCCCCGCCCTGGCTCCGTTTGCTCAGCTCTGCGGTTCTGTGCCTTCCGGTCCCCTGAGACCCGCGGTTGCTCCCTGTGACAGCATGGAAACTGCCCTCAGGACTTTCGTGATCGTAATACTTCCCAAAGCAGAGTGCCAGGCCTTTCTGCTGTGGTGCCACTGTGTAGATTCGAACTACCCACCCTTTGGATACCAGCTGAGCACAAACGGTTTGTGCTACCCCAGTCTTGGTGAAAGAACCTCTCTTCACAGACACACTCACCTCCCACCACTCCTGACTGTCTCCAATGCCCCTCTGCGACCCCAAAAGTGGGAGGGCAGGGTGGCCACCCCCATGCCTGGGTCAGGAGGCCCACCCTGAGGAGGAACACAGCCCTCCCACCCCAGTCCTGGAGATTCCCTGGGGGAATCTGTGGGGGCTCTGGATGGAGGAGAGGGGGGCTCTGGACAGGGGAGGGGGGTGGGCAGAGGAAGTCCGGCTCATGCTCTTTGACCTTCATGACCCCTTCCTTCTAGGGCAACAGGTGAGCAAGGAGCTCTCCTGGGTTAGCAGCCTGCAGAGGGGGGCTGTTCTCAAGGATGGGGACTTTGTCTTGACGGAAAGGTGACACCCCCCCCCCACACGAGCAGCAGCCTCCCTGGCTCCCAAACTGCAGGAGCAGCCAGGGGACAGGCTGGAGGAGTCCAGGGTGATGGGCCGTGTGGCTGTCTCTGCCCCTCTCCTGTCCCCAGCCTCCTCTTCAGCAGCCAGAAGAGCCATATGTCAGGAGAGGACATGTGTCCCCTGTGGGGCCGGGAGCAGATTCCACAAATGGCCCTGCTGGCTTCCAGGGAGCTTTCCAGCTGCATTTTCTCCAGAACAGATTTGTTGTTGTTTTTTTTTTTTTTAGCAGTCCATGGTGTTTTCAGTATTCTTCACCAACACCACAACTCAAAAGCATCAACTCTTCTTTGGTCTTCTTTTTATTCATTGTCCAGCTCTCACATGCCTATGAGGTGATTGAAAATAGCATGGCTTGAGGCAGGGGCACCTTAGTCCTCAAAGTGACATCTTTGCTCCTTAACCCTTTAAAGAGGGCATTTTTTTTCTTTTTATTGTGATTTGGGTGAAGATTTACAGAGCAAATTCACTTTCCATACAGCAGTTCAAATACACTTTGTCTCATGACATTGACCACAGTTTACTGCAATGCAACAGCTCCCATCCCACTTCCTCCCCATAATTACCTCTTGCCTGTGTCCATCCCTCCATGCCCTCCTGCCCCCTGAGCTGTCTCTCTGTGCATAAACAGCCCTTCTTTCTCCCATGATTGTTCTCTCCGAGAAGTTTTTCTACCTCAGGTAAATTTTCAACTCATATGCCTGTCTTTTGCTTGGCTGGAAGCCACAGGTGTGGGTTCAATTCCAGACCTGACGGGCAGCTAGGGGCCATAGTCTCAGTGGTTCCACCAGGCTCTATCGGACTAGCAAACCTGGTCCCCCCCCCTCTTTTTGTCTCCAAATGATTTTGAGTTTTGTCCATATTGTTCTCCCTCTCTATCCAGGATCTCCTACAAAGATCCCCTTCCAAGTGGATGACATTGGTAGCCAAATACCATCTAGTTCTTCTGGTCTCATAGTCATATAGGCTGCAGATTGGATGGTGTACCAGTCACTAGGACTGATTATATCCATGAATTTTGGTTTTCTTCATTCTTCTTTGCTCTGGACAAGGAGAGACCCATTGTTGCATCTAGATGGCTGCTTGCTAGCTTTGAAGATCCCAGTCGCTACTCGCCAAAATAGGAGGTGGAACAATGTTTTGTATAGTATATTATGCCATTTGAGCTTGATGTCCCCCTGTGACTATGGTCTCGAGCCCACAGGTTCAACTATGCGGTCTCTCTGGGTAACTGGCTGTGACCAAGCAGTGACTACCACCTTGCCTCCTGTCAGCTTAAAGAGGGCTTTTGCAGCAGATTTGCCCAATGCAACACGATGTCTGAGTTCTTGACTTCTGCTTCCATGGGTGTTGACTGTGGAGCCATGTAAAATGAAATCCCTGATAACTTTTCTCCATTTATTGTGATGCTGCTAATTGGTCCAGTTATGAGGATTTTTGCTTTTCTTTATGTTGAGGTGTAATCCACACTGTGGGCCGTCATCTGATTTTCATAAAAACAAAATCACAGAGCTGAGGTTGTTCGAAGGGCAAAGATAAGAGCATGGTCAAGAGCTAGTGTCCAAGACAAAGAGAAAAGGGGGGCTCTGGGAACTATAATCGGGAGAGAGGAGGCATTGCCCAGAGTGCTAGAGGTGGGGGAGGCTGGAGGGGAGCCAGGCCCTCACAGCCTCTCCCCTGCCCCAGCATGGCCATCTTGATCTACTTGAGCCTGAAGTACAAGGCGGAGGCCCATTGGTATCCCCCCAATGTGCAAACCCGTGCCCGCATCCGTGAGTACCTGGGCTGGCACACTGACTTCATCCGGGGCATCTTTGGCGTGCCACTCTGGATCCGGGTGAGGAGCGACCCCAGGGAGTGTTGACCATCAGAACCGGGAGGAGCAAGAGCCCCGGGCTCAGCCACCCTCTACCACCCTCAGGTGCTGGCACCTATCATTGGGGCCCAGGTGCCTGAAGAGAAGGTGCGGCGCAACCAGGCCTTCATGGACCAAGCACTGCAGCTGCTGCAGGACAAGTTCTTGGGCGACGGGCCCTTCGTCGCCGGCCACCAGGTGACCCTGGCTGACCTGCTGGGGCTGGAGGAGCTGCTGCAGGTGAGCACTCCGCCGGCCGGACGGTGGCTGTGGACAGCCTGCCTGCCTTTGCCAGCCCCGTTAGACAGGCAGAAACGGAGGCCCAGGGGGAGCCAGGGGGCTGCCCAGAGTCGCAGCTCCTTATGGGCTGAACTAGGGCTGTTACGGGCAAAACGCTGGGTCCCTGGCCCGACACGACTAAAACCAATGAAGACTCACCCGGGTGAAGAGTGGCAGACACGGCTGTCCTGAGACTGTGCACGAGCGGGGAGTCCCTCACACGCTGTCTGGGTGGGTGCTGTCCAGGGTCCTTATCACCAGGGGGGATGATTACGTGAGAATCCGGTGCCACACACGATTTCATGTGACAGTTTAAGCATACGCAGTAAAAGATACCAAGATGGTGGCTGTAAGCCCGTCTCATTACGATGCTAAGTCTCCACCCAGGGGACTGATTGTCATTATGCTAATGCTCCCTTTTGCCCAAGTTCATGCTGTCCTTTAGGTTTTTACCAGTTAGTAACCTGTGGGAGCTCTGGTAGCATAGTGCCTAAGGCACTTGACTGCCAGAAGGCTGG